TTCCAGGAAGGACTGCTAAGCAGGGATGGGGTACACCTTTTGAGTATTTGGAGGCAGACTGGCTAATCTAGCAAGGAGAGCTTTAAACTAGGTTCAATGGGGGCAGGTGACCAAAGCCCACAGATAAGTAAAGAACATGGAAACCTGGGAGATGGGTCGGAAATGAGAGAGAGCGTGGGCTATAATAGCAGAGAAAAAGGAGGGACAAGGCAGAACTGGGAGGCAAGATCAAATTGGTATCTTAGGGTGTGTCTAGACTACTGAGTTTTGTCGACAAAAGTGGACTTTTGTCAACAAAACTATACCAGCGCCTACACTACCGCTGAGTTCTGTCAACATAACATCGACAGAACTCAGCAGTTTTGTTGACGCTGGTATACCTCATTTTACGAGGTATAACACCTTCTGTCGACAGAGTTCTGTCGACAGAAGGTGTTATTGCCGGTAGGGTTGCATCTAGACTACAGGGTTCTGTCGACAAAGCAGCTTGCTTTGTCGACAGAACTCAATGTGTCTGGACGCTCTGCAAATGCAAGAAGCATGGGTAATAATAAGGAAGAACTTGAAGTGCTAATAAATAAACACAACTATGATATCGTTGGTATCACAGAAACTTGGTGGGATAATACACACGACTGGAATATTGGTATAGAAGGTACAGCTTACTCAGGAAGGATAGGCGGGGACAAAAGGGAAGAGGTATTGCCTTATATATTAAAAATGTACACACTTGGACTGAGGTGGAGATGGATGTAAGAACCAGCTGTGTTGAGAGTCTCTGGGTTCGGTTAAAAGGGGTAAAAAACAAGGGTGATGTCATACTAGGGGTCTACTACAGACTACCTACCCAGGTAGAAGAGGTGGATCAGGCTTTTTTTAAACAACTAACAAAATCATCCAAAGTGCAGGATTTAGTGGTGATGGGGTACTTCAACTATCCAGACATCTGTTGGGAAACTAACACAGCGGGGCACAGACTATCCAATATGTTCTTGGACTGCACTGGAGACAACTTTTTATTTCAGAAGGTTGAAAAAGCTACCGGGGAGAAGTTGTTCTAGATTTGATCTTAACAAACAGGGAGGAGCTGGTTCAGAATTTGGAAGTGGAAGGCAGCTTGGGTGAAAGTGATCATGAAATCAGAGTTCATGATTCTAAGGAATGGTAGGAGGGAGAACAGCAAAATAGAGACAATGGATTTCAGGAAGGCAGATTTTGGTAAGCTCAGAGAGAAGCAAGACTAAGGGGAAAAACAACTGAAGAGAGTTGGCAGTTTTTCAAAGGGACATTATTAAGGACCCAAAAGCAAGCTATTCTGCTGCGTAGGAAAGATACAAGTACGGCAAAAGGCCGCCTTGACTTAACCAGGAGATCTTGCATGATCTAAAAATCAAAAAGGAGTCATATAAAAAGTGGAAATTAGGACAAATTACAAAGGATGAATATGAGCAAACAATACAGGAATGCAGGGGCAAGATTAGAAAGGCAAAGGCACAAAATGAGCTCAGACTAGCTACAGACATAAAGGATAACAAGAAGATTTTCCATAAGTCTATTAGAAGCAAGAGGAAGACCCAGGACAAGGTAGGCCCACTGCTCAGTGAGGAGTAACAGGAAATTTGGAAATGGCAGAGGTGTTTTATGACTTCTTTGTTTTGATCTTCACCAAGAAACCTGATGCTGAAGGAATGCCTAACATAGTGAATGCTAGTGGGACTGGGGTAGGTTTAGAAGATAAAATTTAAAAAAACAAGTTAAAAATCACGTAGAAAAGTTAGTTGCCTGCAAGTAGCCGGGGACTGATGAAATACATCCTAAAATACTAAAGGAGCTGATAGAGGAGGTATCTGAGCCTTTAGCTATCACCTTTGACAAATCATGGAAGATGGGAAAGATTCCAAAAGACTGGAAAAGGGCAAATCTAGTGCCCATCTATAAAAAGGGAAATGAGAACAACCCAGGAAACTACAGACCAGTCATTTTAACTTCTGTGCCAGGACAGAGAATGGAGGAGGTGCTGGGAGAAGGCTTGAAAGAAGGGGTGGGCCTGAGGAAAGTGGGGATGGAGCAAGGCATCTGTGAGGGAAAAAGAGGACAAAGGGGGCAGCAGCAGTGAGGGAAGGGGAGGCACCAGAAGGGAACAGGGGTAAGGGAAGGTGCAGGTGCCAGGGGATTCGGGGGGTGAAGCAGAAGGGCAGCAGCTGCAGGGGAGGGACCAGCACCAGAGGAGAGAGGCAGGGCAGGTGTGGAGAGGAAGGTTTTAAGGTTTTAAGAGAGGGGATGAGGAGGGGTAGCTCACATGATCAGAGTGGGGCTACTGGAGGAGTGGGCACAGGGGGGAGAGAAGGGCTGGTGTAGGGGGGCAGGTCTCAGGAGGGCTGAGGGCAGTGAGAAGGGCAGGAGTCAGGACAGCAGAGGAGGGGGAGGGGTTGGGGGGCAGCAGGCACCAGGGGAGCTGGTGGAGCAAGGGGAGGAGACATGGCAGCAGAGGGAAAGGGTAGAGGTTTATAAGATATTTATTAATAACTTGGGTGCCACAGTGGCCCATCCAAACAAGCCACATGAACTCCGTACATAAGAACATAAGAATGGCCGTACTGGGTCAGACCAAAGGTCCATCTAGCCCAGTAGCCTGTCTGCCGACAGTGGCCAGCACCAGGTGCCCCAGAGAGGGTGGACCGAAGACAATGATCAAGCGATTTGTTTTTTCCCAGCCATCTCCAGCCTCTGACAAACAGAGGCCAAGGACACCATTTCTATCCCCTGGCTAACAGCCTTTTATAGACCTAACCTCCATGAAATTATCTAGCTTCTCTTTAAACTCTATTATAGTCCTAGCCTTCACAGCCTCCTCTGGCAAGGAGTTCCACAGGTTGACTACACGCTGTGTGAAGAAGAACTTCCTTTTATTAGTTTTAAACCTGCTGCCCATTAATTTCATTTGGTGTCCTCTAGTTCTTCTATTTAGGGAACTAATAAATAACTTTTCTTTATCCGCCCTCTCCACACCACTCCTGATTGTATAGACCTCTATCATATCCCCCCTCAGTCTCCTTCTCTAAACTGAAAAGTCCCAGTCGCTTTAGCCTCTCCTCATATGGGACCCGTTCCAAACCCCTCATCATTTTAGTTGCCCTTTTCTGAACCCTTTCCAAGGCCAAAACATCTTGTTTGAGGTGAGGAGCCCACATCTGTGCACAGGCCTAGCCCTTCGCTGGGATTTGCCTTTAGTGGGCCCAGTGGCCAAACATGTTTGTGGGGCCCCATGGGGTGCAGAGGGGTTGCTCCCTAGAAGAAATGGGGGCTGTGGGCAACCAGCTGAAGTGCTACCTGGACTATGGTGCTGGGCCCTTCCAGCCCTCAGCCATGCGGAGCTCAGGCTGCAGTTTAAAGGGTCTGGGTGGCCTAGGGGGAACTTCCATCACCTTCGGCTCTGGACACAAACTGCTGGGCCCAGAGCCAGCCTTAGCTGTATGGTGCCTAGAGCCTCACTGCACTGCAGGCCCTGGCGGGGCCCAGCGCTGTCACCATGTCGGAGTTAATCTTGGGCCCCCTTCGGGGCTTGCCGGGTGTCCGGATCTCACAGCCCTCCCTGGGGTGCCACCTGGCTGTGGAGAAAGCTGCTAGCAGTTGCGAAGGGCTGAGCGGCAGGCCTCTGTTTGTGCAGGGTGGCACCCCCCAGTCAATCAGCACCCTCTTATTAGGGTGCAGTGCTGTGGGTCCTCCCCCTGCTCCATGGGAAACCTGCCCTGTCCAGCCTGCCTTGCCACCCAAACTGCCACGCTGAGCTTAATGAGCCCAGAATGCTGGGAGGAAGTGGGGAGAAGCCAGGAGTGACTCGTGACCCTTCTGCACATGACCCCAGGATGCCAAGGCCCCTGAGGAACCCCCCTCCCATCGAGCCCGAATGAAGGAGTGGGAAGGGGCCATGAACCCATGCGTTAAGCACTAGCTGAGGAAAGACATGCTGAGTGGACAAGGACAGGGCTAGATTCTTGGCATGTTTTAGGCTAACAGCACTGGGGAAGAGGCAGGTTCAGGTGTAATATGTTATAACTTGCACTCTAGAGCAAGCCCAAAGCATCTGGCAATGCCTGACTGAAGCCTTGCAACTCACGGGGCAGGTTAGCATTGTGGGGAAACTGAGGCACAGGGGGCTTAAGGGCCAATATGTTCAAAAAGAGTCACTTATTTCTGGCTCAGTTTTTGGAAGCCTGATGTGAAACCCTGAAGGCCTGACTTTCACAGGTGCTGAGCCCCGTGGCTCCCCTGCTTTCTCATTGCTCCAGATCAGTTCTTTAATAAATCTTGAATTCAGCAAAAATCTCCCTGAGAATGGAGCCTGAGCTAGGGGAGTGGAGCTGTGTCTCTGTGGCAGAACTGCTATTGCATGAGCACCTGTCACAGCAGGGCTGCTGAATACATTGCTATCTGAGTTACGCTGCAAAATACCCAACTGGGGCTGGAGTCAGGTGAGGGGGGAGGCCATGGTCCACATTACCAAGGGCTTATCTACATTACAGAGAAGATCAAAGCTGCTGCAGTCGATCTTCCGGGGTTCGAATTAGCGGGTCTAGTGGAAAAAAATGGATTTCAATTATTTTGTTTTGACTTGGGTCTTTTTTAAACTTTTTTTCTTCTTCATGTTTTAAATTAGAAAATAACTTTTTGAAATGAAAAGTCAGTTTCACCCGAAAAACTTTTCATTTGGAAAATTTCAAAACTTTCCCTCCTACTCCCACCTGCCCCAAAATGTTTGAAATGGCAAATTCATCACACTCGTCCTTTCCTCATCTACAGTTTGGTTCCAATGAAGCGGTGCTCAGAGATGGAAAACCAGGCCGTAGCTAAATTCCTGAGCTCCCTTGCCCCTCCTGTGACTCCGGCCCCAGGTTCCGGCTGGCTTGTCAAGGACGTTCTGAATAGGCAGTGTAAACCCTCCCTGTGCTGTGAGAGACAGGTGCCTGGGTGGGGCGGGGAGGAGGGACAGGGATTGGTGCAGTGATACCTGGCCAGTGCAAGCACAGAGGCTGGAAGGCAGTTTCCTGCACAACTCCTAAGGCAGCAGCTGTCCTGAGATCAAGCAGGCAGGTGAGTCCTATAGTGCGCGGAGCAGGGCTCCTCTGAGCACTCTCACCCTGGCACTACTGCTCAGGGTGACCAGGGATGGGATGGGCTAGGACAGGCTCAGGGCTGTATGAGCCCCTCTGAACTCCCAGGCCTGTGTTCAGGGGGGCTAGCCCTGACTGCCGCACCTACCCTCGGCTTTTAGCCAGACACCTCAATCTGGGACGCTTCCTGCCAGCTCCGGTGCAGACATGCTCCGAGTCTGTGGTTTCAAGCCCATGAGTCGGATGCTGGCCTGGGGCCAGCGCTGCAGCCGGGGCAAACTGAGGTCACCCCAGTGACTTAATGGAATGTTAACAATGTCTGCCCCTTAGAATCTCAGGCTCTTTTCTCTGCACCTCAGTCTCTGAGCCCGGCATGCTGGCCATGCAATCAGCTGGGGGCGCCTTTGCGGCTGGGGGCCCCACCATTACCAGACTGCGGGTTTCTTGTTAGGCCAAGTCTACGCTACTAGAGAAAGTCGACCTAAGATACACGACTCCAGCTACCAGAATGAAATCGCATTTCTGCGGCGTCCCCACTGCGGGAGGTTGATGGGAGAAACTCTCCTGTCGACTCCCCTTATTCCTCATGACTCCATGGAGTACGGGGGTCAATGAGGGCACCATCCGTAGTCCCTTTAGTGGGTCCTTACTATACCTGCTAAATCAAACCCCAGAAGCTTGATCTCCAGAGCATGATCTCGGGGTAAGTGTAGACCTGGCCTCCATTCCAGGAAGTAGGCACGAAAAGTCAGACTCTTAGGTTTTCCATGGTTTGTTCTCTGCTGATTCCCTTCCTCTTGGGAGAGCAACACTGAGGTTCCTCTGCATGTGAGTGATTGACACAAGTCAAAGAGGCTCTGAGCTAGATTCTGGCACAGGCCTGGGGATTCCACTCCAGTGGGTGGAACAAAACTGCAGGAAAAATGGCATAACTAGCGACCTGGGAATTACCCCCCTGCCAGCTTGAACAGGGTCAGATTGTGCCTCGTAACTAACCCAGCTCTGGTTAGCAAGGTGCTGTCTTCTATACAAGCATCTCAGCTTTCATTACAACCAACAAAAACCAGTAAGTCTCTTGCTGTCCTGGTTGTGAAGAAAACCTTGACAGGCGAAGTGAGTTTTATCAATGCTGCAATGTCTGAATTTGCCAAGAGCCTGGTGCAGGAGCTCTCAAAGGGGCAAAATGCCCAGGCATATCAGGAGGTTTTAACATAAGCGCTCAAGGAGCACACACCTACAACAGCTTCAGGGGTAGTCGAGTTAGGCTGTACAAAAACCCCAACAAATGGTCTGGTAGCACTTTGTAGACTGACAATGTTTATAGACAATGTTTAGAGATGTTTTGTTAGTCTATAAAGTGCAAACTTACAACAAGGCTGAGCCAGAATCTGGCCAACAAAGCTGCCAGACAGCCTCCTTTGCCCCTATCTTGCCCAAAAAGGAGCACAGCACATGCCAGCACTGAATCTGCTGAATCAGAAAGTGCTACCACATGGAAGTGCACTGAGATGCACCAGGCAGAATGCAGGGGATCTATTCTGAGTTCCTGCAACAGAATCCTGCATTTCCTCGGCCACCCTGCTGGTGCGCCCCTAACTCCCCTGCAGGACTGACTTGGAGGACACAGCAGTGCTGAAAGCTGGCTCCTAGCTCCGCAGGACACTGTTCTCCTCGCTGTTGAGGTAGAAGTGCTGGAACTGGGGAGGAGGTTAGCGTACCTCCTGGGTTGAGATGGGTTTACAGTTTGGTCCAATGGCTCTCAGCATCCCCACTGTGCACACTGCTCCAGTGCCCTGGGTACAGTATGGTCTGCCTGGGGTGACGTGCGCCGGTTCCTTGTCCCTGCCCACCCAACAGCCACTTCTCCTTAGGGTGTGAACGAGCCATGGATGAACCATGAAAAATGCAGTGGTCCAGACCAGCGAGGAAAAGCTTGAAGAGAGAGGGCCAGGTTCAGAGAGGAGTCGGTGCGTGACAGGAGTCACGGACATGGCGAATTGGCTGGGAGACACTGTAACTTCCATATGGGACTCCCTCTGGCCTTACACTGCAGTGGAAAGTCGAAGTAAAATACGCAACTCCAGCTACATAAATTGCATAGCTGGAGTCAATGTATCTTACTTCAGGTGTCCGGCCTGTCCACAGCAGGAGGCTGATGGGAGCAACTGCTCTCATTGGTTTCCCTTACTCCTCACGAGGAGCAGGAGGACTGGCACCAACGGGGGCAGCCTCTGAGTTCGATGTAGCAGGAAGATGGACGGTGGCAGTAGCAATCTTCTGCATAGTATAGACGTGCCTGTAGACTCTCTGTGCAGCCAGACCCGATGAGACACCCCCCTCCCCAACCGCCTGTTGCTACAGCTGGTTGGGAAATAGCATCTTCTTTGTGAAGAATTTTGTCAAAACTGCAAAATGTTTCCTATTTTGTTTTAAAACATTCCTTATAGGGCCTAAAATGGGAAACAAATCCTCAGCTTTCAGCAGCCCCAAAAGCCAAAATTTTAGTTTTGTGGTTGTAGGAAACAAACAACAAAAATCAGATTTCAGGGTTTTGGCAAATGTTTTTGATGAGCACAGAAGCTTTCGTTTGTAAATTCCCATTTAGTAACAGTCAGAAAAACCCATTTCAATGGACAGCGTCAGTCAGCTCTCACTTTAACCCTCTCTGCTCCCTCACCATGCCTGGGGAAGCCCTGCACCAGCCACCATCCCACTGGCCAAGAACCCCATATTCATCCTCGAGACTGCCGCCCCCCCGCTCCGGCAGCTGTGTGCCTGGCTGGCAGGTGGCCCGGCAGTGGGGAAGGCCCGTCTATGACGCATGTTGTACATCCCACATGCTGAGGCTTCTCTGCTACTGCCCTGTTGCTGGGGCAAGTCCTCCCAGGGGCTGCTTCTGGGCTGTGAAATACAGTGGCTGAAGCTTTAGGGATCTGAAATAGGTGACCCCAGTTTGGCAGATACAAGGCCTAGGTCCTCCCCGAACGCAGCCTGAAGCAGGATGGTTTTGCTCCAAGGACTCCTCGTCGCTTTAGTCAGAAAGGTTCGCTGAGGGGACAGATTTTGTGGCCCCAGCTCACGTTTAGTGTTGCCTGACGCTGCGTTAATTTCAAGAGGGCTCTGCGTGGGTGGGGGGAAGCGAGAGGGGGTGATGATTTCCTCCAGTAGCATGGCTGGGGCGGGAGGGGCGAGCCCCTCTGGACACATCAGCAAGGCTGGTTTTATTGTCATGTCCCCGGAAATGAGTGGAACTTTGGCTCCAAGCCCCATCCCCTGGTAGCCAGGGGCAGGCGCTTCGAGGGAAGTGTGTCCCTTTGCCATGGGACCTCCCTTGGGCTCCTGCTGCCGCCGTGTCCAGGTGACAAAACCCAGCTCTGATCTGAGCCAGGCTTTTCTCACAATCTCCTGCCCTACACTCGACCTTTTAGGCTTCCTGGGAACAACACATGGCTGCCCTGTGATCTCATGGGCTGCTGCATAAGGGGGGGGAGCATTTATTCCAGTCGAGTTTGCACGGTTATTGGGTCTCGCTCCAGTAGCAACTCAAGGTCGTCCACTCAGTCACCACCGGGATCGCCAGCTGGATGCAAACAGCTGTCATTAGCGCCAGGCGGATTTACCTGGCACAGGACCTTTCCTATCAACTGCTTCCCAGCATGCAGCAGAGCTAAATAGCCCACCCGACAGGGCCAGCTCCCTTCCCTCTCCCGCAATAGTCTGAATTCAAAACTTGCCTGAGCAGCCGCAAGCCCCAGAGACTCAAGAGATCATGGCAGGGCCACAGGTGTCTCCCGTGTGATGTAACCTGAGAGGGAGAGTCAGTGAGTTGGCAGCCATGTGGAGGGCCAGAGAAGGCTTTTGCCACACCAGAGGCAAGGCTGGGTGGGGAGAGCAGACACGCTTGGAGAACAGGGAGGGGCGTGAGCAGAGCTGGTGTCCCCCGTGGAGTGAGTTAGTTGAAGCAACTGGATTCTCAGCCGTGCCACATGTGCAGACCAGGACAGCCCTGGCCAAAGTGGTGTGGCTGCTGTTAGTGAAATGGGCCCTGGAAGGGCTGTCAGCTCTGCCCTTTGTACCATGGGCCCCTCTTCAGCACAGATCCCTGCACAGGGATGCAGTGGAGCCTGGCTCCTCTTACCAGTCAGCTGTGTCCATTTGCACAGGGGCCGGCCAGAAGCATCGCTGGCCATGGCAGCTGAAGGGTCCCGCAGGGGGCGGAGGGTGCCTCGAGCGGCTGCTGAGGAGGAGGCAGAGCGGATTCTGGTACTAGGAGAAAGCTGGAAGCCCTGGCCCCGAACACGCCGGACAGTCCGAGGTGAGAGCCGAGATGCTCAGACTCCAGTGCGGCTGGCAGAGCTGTCGACAGCCTCTCCTGGGTCACCTCGTCCAGCTGGCAGTGCATGAGCAGCATCCCCTCTGCCAGCAGGCCCGCCGGGATGTTACCTAGACCCTTCAGGGGTGGCACCACAGGCATCTCCAAGCTGGATCATTGCTACAAAAGCTAGGCCCCAGCAGGCTAATGGCCCTTCCTCTGCTGATCCCTGCGCCACGTTCCCCACATGTAGCCCTGCTCGGCTGTCTGCAGTTCTGCTGTGCCTCTGGCAAAGCCATTGGGCTCAGGTTCAAAGGGCTGCCCCAAAGCTCTGCCCTGGCTTTGACCTGGCTGTAGCTCACCTATATTTCATAACATCCATCTGTGTCGTGTTCCCACCTTCCCCTGGACATTTGCCTCTGTAGGGAGCTGGGAAAGAAGAAAACCATCTGTGGGGTGGGTCTCACTGGTATTCGCTGGTCTAATAATGACTCTTGGCACAAAGGGGTGGAATATTCCAGCCTTAACGAAGCGGCCCCTCAGGGGACGGTTTAATGACCAAGCTGGTTGAAAAGTGTCCTTGTGCTTCCCCCAAAGCTGGGAACCTGCTCCTCTGTGGAGCGCAGAACTAGCCCCCGGTTCTGGTCCCGTGCCAGATCCTGCTCCACTCGCTTGGCAAGGGGCCTGAGAAAGAGCTCCCCCCAGATCTTCCCCAAGAGCCCAGGCAGGAGGAAATCTGGGGCCAGTCCTGTGTCTGGGTTAGCCACACGTCCTTCGGGGAAAGGACCGCGTTACCGTGTAACAATCGCACGCCTGCCCAATGGGATTTAGCTGTTGTAACGTGGCCTCAGCAGCGTGTGTCTGACTCCCCCGGTGCCTCCTGCAGGCTGCCTGGAGTGCGTGAAGCGCCTGCTGTTCCGTGTCGGCGATGACTGGTACTTCCTCTTTTTCCTTGGGGTGATTATGGCGCTGATCAGTTTCGCTATGGATTTCACCGTCTCCAGGCTATTGAATGGTAACTATTGGCCAGTTCGCTTCCCCTCAGCTGAGTGCTACTAAGCACCTTGGTCACTGCAGTGAGTAGCCAGAATGATTATCCACCTGGGGAAACTGAGGCAGGGAGTAGGGACTTGCCCAGTGCCCTTGGAGGAGGCAGTATCCGAGATGGGATTAGCACTCAGGAGCTCCTGGCTCCCAGGACTCGTATTGCACCACGGGGTGCCTGTCCTGCAGCTGGGGGCACCTGAACGCTGAGTGAATTCCCTTGGCTCTCCTCCTAGTCCCTGCATGCAGGAGGCCCCAGGCAATGGCCTGTCCTAGGAGCGGGTGGGCCGTTCTGCGGGACTCTGCAACATCACGGGAGGAGACGCTCCTGGCCTGGATGCAGGCAGTTGCATTGGAAGCAGAATTCAGAGCAGTCTCAGTGTCTGAACCAACAGCGTAAGCTTGGGGAAAGGGTTTGAGTGGGGACGGGAGGGCCCTGAGCTAAGAATCAAAAGCACCAGATTCTGTTCCTGCCACTGACTCACTGCAGGGCCCGGAGCAAGCTACCCTCCCCCCCTCCCCCAAGGATGGGACCAGCAGCCCCTCTGTTCTGTGCTGCAGTCTGGATGGGACGCAGTGTTGAATGGCCCTGTTCCAGCTCATGCTCCATTGAGAGATGTGCAGCAGAGCCAGCCACTGGCAGGTAACACACCCACAGCCGGAGTCCCTGGCCAGGGAAAAACTTAGGCTATATTGACACCTAGTGGAGTTCACAATGTAGCCGACAGCGTCCTAGCAGCTCCTTTGTGTCCTGGGATCCACCCATGGGGGCACAGCAATTTAAACTAGGCTTTTAGCCTCCCCAAGGAAGCTGCTCCAGGTGGAGATAGAAATCCAGGCTGTTCTCTTTCTTCCATGGGAAGGAGCTGACAAGGAGTGGGAGCGAGATCCCAGGCTGAATTTCGGAGCCTCTCTGGCCTGGATTCCAGCAACTCTTGCGTGCAAGGGACTCAAGATGGTGACTTGTTCACTTCAGCTGCAGGGGCTGTGAAGCTTTCTGGCTGTGTCTACACTACAGGGATCTATCGGAAGAAGGTATGCAATTTGCGTATCTTTTCCCGATAGTTTTTTCGGAAGAGGCTTTTCTGAAATTTGACCTGCCTACACTGGGGCAAATATTGGAAAAGCCTCCTTTTTCGGAAGATCTGGCTATGTCTACACTGCACTGTTCTTCCGGAAAAAGCTATGCAAATTGCAAACCACAATTTGCTTCACTTTTCCCGCTTCTTTTTTTGGAAGAGGTTTTTCCGACATTTGGCCCATCTACACTGGACCAAATGCTTCCCCCCCCCCCCCCTTTTTTTTGGAACATCCCTTCTTCCTTGTAAAACAAGGTTTACAAGGATGCCAAAAAAGTGCGTCTGCTCTTCCAAAAAATTCAGAAGAGCAGATGTGTTTCCTGGACACAGCAGAGTTTTTCTGGTATAATTTGGGTATCCGGTATCCCGGAAACCCCCGTAATGTAGACACCAATCTGGTTTCTGAAAGGCAGCAGCTGGGGAGAGTGGGTCCCTACCCAGAGCTGCGGAAGCGGGATTTGGGTTTCAGAGAGGAGAGTGGAACGTTGTCCCAAGAAAGGGCACTAGGAAGGTTCCCATGAAGGATGCCCCCCTCCCATAGACAATGTATTTCTAGAGACTTTCTGGGGCCACTGACATTGATTTAACACAAAAACCGTAGAGCACGGTGGCTGCATTCCCACTCATCCTAGAGACCTGTTTCTAGCACACTCTTTGTTGGTCCTTCTTCCTTTCCCCTGAATGTCATATTCCAAGCTCCCCACTTTGTTCTGGTGTCATTTTTTATGTAGGGCAGTGTCCAGTGAACACAGAGTTGGAGGCAGGAAGGGCTGTCACAGAATGAAAGGGTTAGGTGCTGAATAATAAACCTGTGGAACTCATTGCCATGTTGGTGGACCAAACAACTTAGTACAATTCACTACTGGAGTGGCTACATATAAGTTAGAATGGAATGTGAACTTTACACTAGCTGGGATAAAAATCAATCCTCATGCTTCAGGGCATAAGAAGATTGTGCGATGGGGGTCAGGAAGAATCTCCTTTTCTTTTGTACAACTAGCCAATTAGCCCGTCATAAGATGGGATTTTCAAGTCTCTCCTCCATGTTGGTCTTCTCTCCTGAGCCTCTGGTCTCTCGCTCCGTCTCTCTCTCTCTCTCTAAATCCTACTGCCTCCCCACCCTCTCAGCTCTCCTCCTCCTCCTGCCTCTCTCTCTGTCTCTTTCTTTCTCTTCTCCTCCCCCTCTCACTCGGGGGACTGCGGAACCCAAATGGCCGTTTGGGCTCTGCGCTCCCCGAGCTGCATGGAGCGTGCGGAGCCCAAACGGTCACTTGCGCCACTTGCTCCCATGCGGCAGCCCAGCTGAGCGGCGCAGAAGTCAGCCGAGCGCCACGGCGGGAGAAGAAGGGTGGGGTGGTGACATTCACAGCCAGGGGGCGGGGTCTGGAGTCGCTGTCACGCTGCACGTCACCGCCCCGTCCCCTTTCGCCTCCCGCCATGGCACTCAGCTGACTTCTGTGCCACTCAGCCAGGCTGCCACAGGACAGCAAGAGCCGGGGGAGCCCAAACGGCCACTTGCTCCTGGCTGAGTGGCGCAGAAGTCAGCCGAGCGTCATGGCGGGAGGCAACAGCGCCGCCCAGAGGGAACAGCCGGCATTTCAGCGTTACAGAGTCACAGACACTGGGCTACTAGAGATATGATTAGACATATGGGTGAGTGTAAGATCTTCTGTCAGTCGCTGCTGGAAAGCGTGACCGGCACTAGCTGGCCCAATGGTCTGTTATGGTGCAGCAGGAGGCTGGATTCCAGAGTCATGGCGGGAGGCAACAGCGCCGCCCAGAGGGAACAGCCGGCATTTCAGCGTTACAGAGTCACAGACACTGGGCTACTAGAGATATGATTAGACATATGGGTGAGTGTAAGATCTTCTGTCAGTCGCTGCTGGAAAGCGTGACCGGCACTAGCTGGCCCAATGGTCTGTTATGGTGCAGCAGGAGGCTGGATTCCAGAATAGGTAGTCCATTGGTCTGGTCTGGAATGGTGGACCACTGGACCAACTGGACTGTTGTGCTGTTCCGGTGTGTTGTGTGTGGGCGACAGAGAAGACGCCCACCTGATCTGCTGTGTTGTGGAGGGAGGCAGGATATTGCCTTTGCTAGACCACTGCTGCCTTTTGATGCCTTACAGCACCTCTGCTGGACTCATTTTCTAGCACACAAGTGGCTTTACCGAGAGCTTGGGGATCACTTACTGCTGAAGTACTTGTCCTGGACAATGTACCCAATTGCCCTGTCAGCCTTCTCCACTGGCTTCTCTCAGAGCATCACTCCACACTCCGGAGGTGAGTCTGATACACTCTCTGAGACAGTCACAGACGAGCCATCTCATTGATAAGCACTGTCCCTTTGCCCCTTCTTGCAAGCTCGGTGCCTCTTCCGGAGTCAGGTCCCAGGCTATTGCCCCTTCACCTGATATCGAGTGCTTGAGGGGTGACCCTTCTCTTGCGCCATGGGCTCATGCTGACCAACCTCCCGATGGGACAGTGCACCCAGCTTCGCCACTTTGGGGGGGATCGGCAGAATGCACCCTGTGAGAACTGAGCAGTAGGGCTGGGGGGCTGACTAAAGGTCTGTCTCCGAAGTGGCCTGTTAGGTGGAGAGAGCTGGAGACCTTCTGCACATTGCACAAATCGCACCATGGGCAGCACTAAGTGGCCATCCCTGCAGATGGGTCAAGACCGGAAGGGCCTCCTCCTCCTCTCAGATGCACTGAAATGCCTTGGCTGGGCTGCAAATGGAAAGTTTGTGGTGCTGCTGCTGCCCAGGTTCTATTGGCGTGGGGGCTGCACAATGGACTCCGGTCTCCAGGGCTGACCAGTGGGAGCCTTTCACTGGGGCTAAATGTCTGGTGTGCACAAAGGCCTGTCAGCTCTGGCACCCAGTGAATGTGGAAGACTCTGGCAGCGCCGCTCTGCTTTGGATGATCTAGTGCAGGGGTGTTCAGCCTTATTAAGCACAAGATCACTTTGAATTCAAGTGCAATCCAGGATCTACCTCAGACCCAAACACCCTGGCCCCGCCTCCTTCCTGCCCCTTCTCCGAGGCCCCGCCCCTGCTCACTCCGTCCCCCCTCCCTTTCACCGGGCAGGGGCAGAGGGTGGGGGTGCAGGCTCTAGTCTTTGGAGTGTGAGAGGGGCTCTGAGCTGAGCTTGGGGGAGGCAGTTGGGGTGCAGGAGGGGTTCAGGCCCCGTAAGGGAGTTTGGGTCCAGGGGGCTCAGGGCTAGGGCAGGAGCTTGGGGCACAGGAGAGGGTTCATGAATGGGGCAGGGGTTCAGAGCTGGCTCCAGCTGGGCACTGCTTACCTCAGGCAGCTCCTGGATGGTGGGACAGGCTAAGGCAGGCTCCCCCTGCCCTGGCCCTGCACCACTCCCAAAAGCAGCCAGCAAACTCCCTCCATCCCAAGCCCTGTTGTACCTCCCCCCCCCCTTCTGTGGAGATAGGATACAGGATGGGAGGGGGGGCACCCTGACCCCAGGGCCCTCCTCTCCCTTCCCTGCTCTCTACCACAAGAGGAGGCTTCGGGGGTGGGGGCAGCTTCAAGGCAAAGGGCAGGATATGCGCAGCCGTGGGGGTGGGGCAGCTGAAGTGCTGCGTTTGACAGCTCCTTGGCCAAACTCCCAGTAAATCCTGACCTACTGGCTGGTGACCTCGGATCTAGTGGCATCTGGTGTGAATTGCAACTCTCCCTGCCCTGGTCCCTGCTGCGTTCCTGGGTGGAGATACCTGCGCACCCCAGACCTGGAGCCGGACGCTGCTCTCCGAATTGCACGTGCTTGTTGGTGTTTCTCCAGGCTCCGGCATCCCAGAGCTCAAGACCATTCTTACTGGAGTCATGCTGGAGGAGTACCTGGCCATCAAAAACTTTGGAGCCAAGGTGGTGGGTCTGACGTGCACGCTGGCGTGCGGGAGCACCGTGTTCCTCGGCAAAGTCGTAAGTGCCCCCGCTCGGCCTCAGGGCAGGATGAGTTCGAGGCTGCGTTTCAGTGCTAGTGTCTTGGCCCTGCTCTCATGGATCATTCCTCCTGAGGGACCAGGTGGAGGCCTTCGGGGAGGAGACTGAGGGAGAGCCCCCTGCTCCGGGCTCCTCCAAAGCTGGGGTGGGAGATGAGTCCAAAGGTGCTGAGTGTCCCAAGCAGGAGGCCAGATCCAGCGCTGGTGCGAGTCCATGATGTCAGTGGGCGATGCTCTTGCGCCCCAGCTGGAGGCACTGGAGCTGATGTTTTGCTGCCTGGTATCGGAGGGCGTGGCTAAGTCAGGGCACCTCACCGGATTCCCAGTCCAGTGAGAGACAGGACTCTCCTGCCACACGTGCGACAAGCCCCAGGGCCGTGCTGGCTCAGAGAATGGGTGTTTGTAGCACACTCAGAGCCCCTCCACTCCGAGCAGCATGCCATGGAGAGCAAATCAGCCAAATCAGCCGTAGCAGCGAGCGGGCAGGACTCAGCCCGCAGCAGAGAGGGCAGGAGCACTTAAGAGGGGACTGGCTTGCTGTCTGACAGCTGGTTTTTCCAAGGGATCTGAAATTCCGAGTAAGCACGTGGATAACTTGAAAATGGCTGGGCCTGGGGGTTTGGTGAGTGGCTCAGATGTGAGGCCAGCTGACCTGCAGCCTCCCAGCCTCCCCTGGAAAATGAAAATGAAATAAAATGATTCTCTCCTAGTCGTAGAAACTCGAATGATGTTTTCCCTCTGGCTGCAGGGGCCCGTCATGGCTCCTAAACCAAAATCCATTGCAGCAGCCCAGGTTCTCCTGTCACACATTGCAAGCAATGGTGCTGCCTAGTGGGTGGAATGCAGCAAGCACAGTGCTTCTGGACAGGGCTCTGAGCCTTTTGGACTGGAAGGACCAGGGTTCTAGACCTGGCTCCTCAGGAGAGGTACATGGGGCTGGTGAATTGAATGCAGAGCTGTGCAGCTGTGGGTGGACTGTGCTGGCCGTCTCCTGACTGAGGCTGATCTCAGGGGCTTTCCAGCCCACAGTCTCATCCAAAGCCAGTCAAGTGACCAGCTGGTGCCACCTCCCGGTCTCACACTCAAGCCTGCAGGTTACAGCTGGGTCTGTTTGGCTGTGGCAGGGTTGGGTATTTCTCGAGTGAAGAGACAGTCTCTGCTCTTCTTGTGAACTGAGTGTCCATCGCCTCCTCTCCTCAGGGTCCCTTTGTGCACCTCTCCAGCATGATTGCAGCATATTTAGGAAAGATCCGAACATCTGTCAGTGGGGAGTACGAGGTAAGGCATGGGGCAGCAGCTGGCTGGTGAAAGAGGGTCATATGCCCTGATCCCTTCTCCCCAGGGGTGCATGTATTGACTGGTCCCTGCTGGCCCCACAAACTGCCCTGCTCTGCCTGTTCCTCCGTTACAGAACAAAACAAAGCAGAACGAGATGCTAGTGGCAGCTGCTGCTGTTGGAGTCGCGACCGTCTTCGGGGCCCCCATTAGTGGTAAGAGAGCATTTGGCATGACCTGGGAGCTGGCAGGGGTCAGGATGGTGTATGTGCTGTAGCTACTTCCAACTGCCCTATACCCCCTGCTGGAGTGAACACAGGCTGCCCTGTACCCCCTGCCAGAGTGACCACTGGCTGCCCTGTACCCCCTGCCGGAGTGACCACTGGCTGCCCTGTACCCCCTGCCAGAGTGACCACTGGCTGCCCTGTACCCCCTGCCGGAGTGACCACTGGCTGCCCTGTACCCCCTGCCGTGATCACTGGCTGCCCTGTACCCCCTGCTGGAGTGATCACTGGCTGCCCTGTACCCCCTGCTGGAGTGAACACAGGCTGCCCTGTACCCCCTGCCAGAGTGATCACTGGCTGCCCTGTACCCCCTGCTGGAGTGATCACTGGCTGCCCTGTACCCCCTGCCAGAGTGACCACTGGCTGCCCTGTACCCCCTGCCAGAGTGATCACTGGCTGCCCTGTACCCCCTGCTGGAGTGACCACTGGCTGCCCTGTACCCCCTGCCGGAGTGAACACAGGCTGCCCTGTACCCCCTGCCAGAGTGACCACTGGCTGCCCTGTACCCCCTGCTGGGGTGCACACCGCGT